CAACAAAAAAGAGTAAGAGAGTTTTGGAATGGCAAAATTCATAGAAAAAAGTTATGAATGAAAGTAAACAACCCCTACCTATTTTTGTGTAGCTAAGGGAAAAATGTGAAGAACTCATTAGGATTCCCTTCAAGCAAACCCTCAACCCATGAACCTTCAAAAAAAAAAAAAAACTTTAGGACTTAAGAAAAGTGTGCCAGAAAGGCTTGGTAAGGGGTCTTATTTATATGGTGTGAGCTGAAGTGAGATGGTAAAAAGAGGCAATTAGAGTGAGTTTGGTTAAAGTTATGCTAGGTATCTTTTTCATCAGTACTCCACCACCTTGAGTGTGCCAATGAATTTGTCATAGAACTGGTCAAAAACATGCTCTTTTCCTCCCCTTTCTATGCGCCAAAAAGGAGAATGGATCAAAAACTAGTCTAATATATTAATTACATTTATATACACTAAGAATTACATCAAGTTCTGTTAGTTTATGAATTATCAAATAGTAAAAAAAAATTTGATTAGTCAAAAGAATGGGGAGGCAAATTTATATCGATAAGCTTAGTTGAAAATAAAACTAGTTTAGAATAGTTTAGAGGAATAGTTGGAATAGATTTGAGTGGAAATGACTTACTAGTTTTTTGGATACAAATTTTAGGTACATGGCCTATTTATAGGCCTCAACACAACCATTCATGTTTTATGTAGAGGATTTTAAAGATATCTATTCTAAATTTTTTTGTCTATATGTAATTGTCTACATAATTTTAGAATTTGTATCATCTAATATTTACTAGTATACACCTATGTATTTTTCTATAATAATTTATCTTATTCTAGAATTTTGTATCACATTTTAATACTCCTTGATACAAATTTCTCTAACTCCTATCATAGTGCGAAAATGTTCGAATCTAGCTCTTGGTAGTGCCTTTGTGAATATGTCAGTAACTTGCTCTTCAATCTTATAACACTCCATCTTGATTTCTTTAGTTGTTTCTACTTCTATAATGAAGTGATATTTAATTGCAATGTGTTTTGTCCTGTTGCTGTGATGTACTGGATTTTTTTGTCATTGTTATTGCTGATTTATTGTCGCAATATTGTAGTAGGCCCATCTTGTTGTTCTCCCATTTCTACAAGTATTCTTTGTAGCCAAATTGCTTGACTTGTAACTTTAGCTGCTGCAACATATTATGCCTATGTGGTTGATTGTGCAATTGTTGCTTGCTTTTTTTATGCCTAAAAAAATATTCTTGATCCGAGTGTGAAAACATAACCAGAGGTGCTCTTCATGTCATTTACCGATCCTGCCCAATCACTGTCGGTGTATATCTAAGTAAACTTGAGTTGGTCATGGTTTTGTACCATATACCAAACTCCTTTGTGCCTTGTAGATATCTTAGAATTCTTTTAGCTGCTCCAAAGTGAATTTGGCTTTGGCTTTGCATAAACCTTGATAAAAGACTTACAACATATATTATGTCTGGTCGTGTGGCTGTTAAATATATAGTGCTCCATCATCTTTTTGTAGCTTCTCCTTTGTCACAAGCAGAGTAGTGATAGTCTTGCAACCACTTATCTTGAAATTCTTCAAGCTGAGAGCTTCAGTATATTTCTTTTGAAAAATGAATATCCCTTTCTTCTTTTGACTTACCTCAATACCAAGGAAGTAGTTCATCAAGTCAAGGTCCGTCATTTCAAATGTCTTCATCATGTCTTCTTTGAATTCTGTCATCATCTTTATATTGTTCCCTATGTAGATAAGATTATCTACATACAAGGAGACAATGAGAGTTTCATACTGATGTATAGTGTTGGCTCACTCTTAATTACTCTTCCTAAATCCATGATCAGTGAAGTATTGATATATTCTGTTGTATCGTGCTACTAGGGCAAATGTCTCGTTGTAGTCGACTCCAGGTTGTTGTGAATAACCCTTAGCTACCAACTTTGCCTTGTGTTTTTGTATGGTGCCGTCCGAATTGAGCTTTGTTATATAAACCCATTTTACCCCGATAATATCTTTGTCTTTTGGATAGTCTACTAGATCCCATGTGTTAATTTTCTCAATCATTTTTATCTCTTCTTCCATAGCCTTGACCCATACTTATTGCTTTGACGCTGCTTCAAAGCTTTTAGGTTCAAGTATGGCCAAGTTGTAGGTTTCATATATATCCACCAAAGATCTAACTCGTCTTGGAGTAGACTATGGTGATGGAGTTTGTTGTTGTGAAAAGGAAAATAAGGCTCACCTGAGACTTCTGCAATTTCTTCTTCTAGTTGCTGCATTGTAATAGAAATGTTTTTTCTACTTTCTCGTCATTCCAATTCCAAGCCACCTTTTCATCAACTTCAACATCTTGGCTAGTAGTCAGCTTCTTGGTTTGCAAGTTGTAGACTCGGTAGCTTTTGGACTATGTGTTAATCCAAGGAAGATACCTTGTACTGTCTTGTCTTTTAGCTTGTGCCTTTTCTCTTCTGGAACGTGTATGTAGAAAATAGATCTAAATACCCTTAGGTGCTAATTTGTTGATGTTTTTTTCTCGCTCCAGGCTTCAATCGGAGTCTTATCTTGGACTACCTTAGTTGGGCATCTATTAAGTATGTAGACAGTAGTATAAACAACTTCAACCCAAAAAGTGTTTGGTAACCCTTTCTCCTTGAGCATCAATCTGACCATCTTCATTCTTGTGCAGTTTTTCCTTTCAGATACTCCATTTTTTTTGTGGGGAATATGCAATTGTAAGTTGTCACTCAATTCCTTCATCTTCATAGAATTTATCAAACTCATGAGAAGTGTATTCTTTGCCACAATCACTTCTAAGTAATTTTATTTGTTTTCCACTTTACTTTTCGACAAGGGTCTTAAACTTCTTGAAAATACCAAAGACTCACTAGTGCAAAAATTGGATTTAAAATCGGAGTTTTAAGATCGGTTATAAGGTAACCGGTTTTAAAAGTGACGCGGTAGCAATTTTGTAAATAATATGAACACTTTTAAGATCAGTTAAAATTTAACTGATCTTAAAAGTACTTTTAAGATCGGTTATAAAATAACCGATCTTAAAAGGTATGTTTGACATAACTTTTAAGATCGGTTACAAAAGAACCGATCTTAAAAGTTGTATCAGACATCACTTTTAAGATCGGTTCTTAAACAACCAATCTTAAAAGTACTTTTAAGATCGGTTAAATTTTAACCGATCTTAAAAGTGCTACTTTTAAAATCGGTTATTTAGGAACCGATTTTAAAAGTGATACTTTTAAAATCAGTTATTTCAGAACCGATTTTGTATGTAGTATACAAAATCGGTTCATAAATAACCGATTTTAAAAATTTCGTCAGAAACCTTTTATATTTCCCTCCATTCTCATTCTCTTTAATCTTTCCTTCCATTCATTTTTTTACTCTCTCGCGCTCTCATTTTATAAAGTTTTCAATAAGGTAAATTTCGTTCTCGTTTTCATTTTCATCTTCTCATGCTCTTCTTGTGTCTCTTTTCGTTTTCTCATGCTTTTCTCTTGTCTCTATTTTCGTTGTAGGTTCAGCTTGGACAAATTACGAAATCGGAACGGGCCATTCTGCAAGGAGAAAGGCCCATTCTGCAGGGAGAACGACCAGTTCTCCTAGCAAAACGGGACGTTCTCCTTTTAGAACAGGACGTTCTCCTTTTAGAACGGGCCGTTCTTTAGGGAGAACGGCCCATACTCATTTTAAAAACCTGGAACGGCCCGTTCCGATTTTGGAATGGCCCGTTCCACATTAATTTTTTTTTGCAGCCCGGACTTTTAAGATCGGTTATAAAATAACTGATCTTAAAAGTTAACTTTTAAAATTGGTTATTTAACCGATTTTAAAAGTCTAACTTTCAAAATTGACTTTTTTAAAATGGGTTACGGAACCGATTTTAAAAGTTGAAAATAACCGATTTTAAAAGCCTTTTTTCCACTAGTGACTTCTGATTTTGCTTTTCTGATTTTGTATGGATCAGCTCCAACAAGTCCTTTTCTCTCCATGCTTTGCCTATTGAAAATGACAATCGATGTTGCTTGCTAAGGAGACATCCTTCACAAGTTTCACTATTCTCCTTTAAGCATGGGAAATCTCTCATCATATTTTTTTGATATAATAACTTTAAGGCATGCATATTAAAGTGGCCAAATCTTCGATGCCAATGCCATGACTCATCCCTTGCTGCTTTCATGGCAATGTTAGGGCCTTGTCTTAGGCTTATAAGGAAACTTTTATTCCTCTTTTCCATTTTTACTCAGCCAATCTCTAGCTTTTTATTGTCATATATTTTACATGTGTCTCCTTTGAAATGGAGAGTATAACCTTTCTCCATCATTTGGCCAATGCTCAAGAGATTTTCTTTGAGATTGGGAACTAGTAGAACATCAGTAATAAGTCTCATACCTTTCTTCGTCTACACCATAACTGTGCCTTTGCCTTTTGATTCAACGAAAGTGTCGTTCCCCATTTGGACTTTCACTTTGACGGATTCCTCAATATCCTTGAAGATGCTTGCATCTTTGGCCATATGATTGCTACAGTTGCTATCCAAGTACCAACTTCCACCTGTTTCACTATTTGAATCTTGGGTAGCATAGAAAAGATGTTGCTCACCATCTTTCTCTTCAACAAAGTTTGTTTGATGTTATTATTTTTCTTACGACAATACTTCTCCACATGTCCAACTTTGTTGCAGTAGCGACATTGTGACTTTCCACGATATCGACAGTCTTTCTCAACATGATGATTTGTCCTCTTGCAAATGTCACATGGAGGATATTCATTCTAATAATTTCTAGAGAAATTTTTAGAATTCTCTTTATTTCTAAAAGTTTCTCCATTATTCCTTTTTTCTTTACTTTGAGACCGTAATTTGAGCTTTGATTGAAAGAAATTTTTAGTTGAGTCCTCATCATGCCTATGCAATAATATTCAGTTAGGGAAGGAAACAAAATATATTGCGTGATCTCAATTTCCCCGTTAATTAATGTCTATATACTGCTAGTGCTTTCTTTTACATTGAAGTATTTCAAATTTCAATTTCGAGAGATATATATATATATAAAAGAATAGCATGATTAATTTTAAGGACTGATAATACATGGGTGAATAATTTACCAGCAATGTTCCTTCGGACTCTGTATATGACAAAAATGCTGAATAACAGTATCGCACCAGCTACAGCAATTGTGGTAGCAATTATAATCATCACCATTTTGTTGCGCCCATGTTTCTCTTCATGGTTGGTTTTGTTCAAACAAACAAGAACATGAAATTAAATCCTCAGATTTAAAGAATGATATTGAACTTTCCAAAAAAATAAGAATGATATTGAATTTTCCAAAACAATAAGAATGATGAGAGTATTATATGGAGAAGGATTAATAGTCTTTACCTAACTCCGAAGCAGGTATTCGGATATATAGATCTTGCCCGCCAGTTGGAAGCATGACTATGTCAAATAGTTCGCCAAACCAAAGGACACAACCACTTCCTTCTCCACTTATGTTCGAATTAGTATAAGCCATGCAAGAGCAATTTTTCAAGCATTTGGATTTACATTCAGCTAAATCAATATTCTCATCCAGCCAAGTATGTGTAGTTTCTGGTACTTTCATGCCTTCATATTTGTCAAACTCATCCGTGTAGTTACCTTTGCAACTTTGTGGTTGTTTAAGGACACATCCTTGGGACCAGTCCTTTGAGTTCCATTTTTCAGGAGACTTGGGATTGAACCCTTGCAAACATTCACACATGGGTGAAGCAGAAGTTCTGCAATATGAATTGGCTCCACAAACCCCATAATAGTCACATTCGTCAGCTGGCAAAGCTGAATATATTACCCATGATGCATCAATATCTGACCATATATAATGAATACGTTGTAGAGTGGTTTGGTTTAGTACTGCTCTTGTTATCAAACTGGACTGCTGAAGGGTCCATGTGTAATAAACCTCTTCCTTGTTGGAGAAAAACTCGTAGTGGTAAATTGGATTAGGCGACATTTCTGGCATGCCACTGAAGCGCAATCCATTCCATGGTCCAACTCTCTGGTACTTTTTTGTTCCTTTCATTGTAATGATCTCAGGATAGGGGTGAACTGCAATACCCCAAGATAAGTCTCCTGGGGTTGGATCATCATTACTCTTCCATGATATTAGGTTTCTGTTGCGATTTCTTTTGAGGTCCCATCCAATCTTCATTCCTGGCAACATTGTATCAGAAGGGTAATCAAAGCTTTGCCACAGATATTCCTCTTGATTTGATTTTGTTGAATTCTCATCTCTTATCACAAGATTGCCAGAATCCAAGAGTTCAGCCACTGGATTCTGTGCTGCTTTTGGAGAATCTGTGGACCAAACCACTATGTTGTTGTGTGTTAAAACCAAATTGCCAGAACTGTTTAGTTTCAAGATGGCTGAGGAATCATTGATTGGTTTGCCAACGTTTGCAACCCAAACAACGTTTCGAAGTGGGATATTCTTGTAGCGGATCCCTAGGTAGGTTTTGTTGGGTTTTCCAAGATTGAAGAAGCCAAGCTCAAAGGTTCCTTGTGGGTAAGAAACTATGGTATCTCCATAAGTGAGGGACTGTGTATGTGAAATGGATGATGTGTCCGCGGCTATGAAAACCATGAGAGAGGGCACAAACAGTATATAAACTACGATCCTCATTAGAAATCGAATAAACTTCATTTAGTTTCGACTATGTTTGAGAGTAGAGTTTAAAAATGGTACGCTGAGAGTACGAACACTTAAGCTGCTGAATCATGTATATATATATATATATATATATATTTCATACTAATAATAATAATAATAATAATTTGTACTATTAATAAATAAAATCATACCACATATATATATATATATATATATATATATATGGAAAGAGAAGCAAGTGCAACACAAAAACTATAACTTCAACCGAGGATGTTGCTTGGCTGACTTTTCCTCTACTGGTGGAAATTATTTTTTTTTTCCTTTTAAAATTTGGCTAACTACATGGAATCATAAATTTTAATTTTAAGTCAGCTGTTTGGTGAAAGATAGACCGTCGCTGTTACTGTTACCTATCATTTATTGATCTATAATGTATATTATTGGCTTTTCTGGGTCAAACGTTCCTTTTTCATATTCAAATTTATCTTTAATGTGGCGTGAAACCATTAGGATATATGTACTTTCAGATTTGGCTCTAAAAGACAGATTGTGCATCACAATATTTTTGTATTTTATATTATTACAATGCACCCTTCGCACTGTATCATTGTAGTCACTTCCTCTCCACATGCAACCGCCAGCCACGGTTCAAATAACTCATTAACCATGCATGAAAAATACTCGAACCCATTTGTTAAGGATCAAAAATAAAAACCCATAATCCAACCACAACCCCATATGATCAAGAGAGGAAAGGGAAGATGATGATGAGGAAACACTCACTAAAAGATGTTAAGAGTGTGGGTCTCTCTTGATTTTTTTCTCCTCTTTATTTTCTTTTTAAAATTTTTCTTCCCTTATTCTTTATTCTTTAATTGTGCTTTATAAGAGGAATAAGGGTGGGGGAAAGTTTTAGTGTCTTAAGTAGAATGTGGGTCTTATCGAGCCTTCTTTGCTATTACACATGACACAACCATTACCTCTACCTCTAATATCTGAATTAGTAAAGGCCATGCAAGAACAATTATTCAAGCACTTGACTCTACATTCCTCTAGACCAATACTCTCATCCAACCAAGTATGTGTAGTGTCTGGAACTTTTATAATTGAGAAAGACCAAAATTTTCTAACTAACATGACTCACTCTAATGCAATGTGTATTAGGAATGAGTCATAGAATTTAATAATTTAGATAAACAAGTTTGTATTATTTATTATATCAAACTTATAAACTTAACTAGCAAACATATCAAAATATATAAGTTAAAAATGACAAAGAAGAATGTGATAAACTAACACCAATGGTTTTCATATATAAATCCTTTCAATGTCTGCATATATCTAAATTTAGTATATCCAATTAATTAATTTTGTGAGATTCATCGAGCTTCTAACATTGTAATTGTCACATCATTGGATGAACTTGTATCCTTTTTACTTAAGTGTAAATTTTCTTTAACTACAACATTTCTAGGAATGAAGCCATGTTCTTTAGGCTCAACTAATTCCATGTGGCTCTCCAACATAAGAATAATGGACGCCATTGTAGGTCTATCTTCTGGGTATTGTTGCACACACAAAAGACCGATATGGAGGCAACGTAGTACTTCTGATATAACACATGACCCCTTCATCCTTGAGTCAATCAACTCTAATGCCTTACCATCTTTCCATGTTGTCCATGCCTGTATCATTATAATAAATGATAATTATTTGAATATTATTAGACATACATAAACTGTAAGCAAATTCAAGCTCTTACATGACCAACGAGGTTAATATTCTTATCTGTGTGATAAAGTCCTCTATTTCTCTTGCCACACACAATCTCTAACACTAAAATATCTGATACAGTTTTGCCAGAGATGAAAATCGGATGGGACCTCCGAACCGGTTTGGAACGAAGACTAACATCTTGGAAGAGTTCAGATGATCCATCACTTGGAAATGGTTATTATGTTATGAATAACTGTAGCTATCCTGATATGTATACATTGGAGAGAACACAAAAGTTATCCCGGTTTGGTCCTTGGAATGGCATGTACTTTAGTGGAATACCAGGTCTACAAAACAACACCATTTTTGGCATTAGTTTTGTCAGCAATAAGGATGAAGTTTACAGCTCCTTTAGCATCTTCAGTAACATAACCATCGCCAGAACTGTAATAAACCAAACAGGTTATATTTATCGCTATGTATGGGTGGAGGATGATGGAGATTGGAGGACATATAGATCCTTCCCTTTGGAGTTTTGTGACACTTATGGCCTCTGTGGACCCTACGGGAACTGCGTAAGTACTCAATCCCAAGCCTGCCAATGTTTGAAAGGTTTCAGACCAAAGTCACCAGAAGCATGGATCTCATCTGGGTGGAGTCAAGGATGTGTACGCAATAAACCATTAAACTGCAAACACAAACTCACAGAAGGGTTTGTGAAATTTAAAGGCCTCAAAGTTCCAGACACTACACATACTTGGTTGGATGAGAGTATTGGTCTAGAGGAATGTAGAGTCAAGTGCTTGAATAATTGTTCTTGCATGGCCTTTACTAATTCAGATATTAGAGGTAGAGGTAATGGTTGTGTCATGTGGTTTGGAGATCTCATTGACTTGAAACAGTTTGAAACTGGTGGCCAAGATCTATATATCAGGATGGATGCTTCTGAGTTAGGTAAGCACCAACAACTTTGATCTTATCATTTTAATTGAAACTTTTGAAAACTCAATATCACTCTAACTTTAGCCTTTATTTGTTTGTTTTATTATTATAATTAATTATTGATTCCAACCCTCAAGAACCTGTATCTAGCCACAAGAAGAACACGCCAACAATAGTTGCTTCCACCATTGCTGCAATCTGTGGGGTTCTTATACTAAGTACTTATTTTACTCAAATGAATGTTAAATCAAGCTAATTAGACACTTATCATTATCTAACTCTAAAACACTATCCTTTTTATAATCCAGACTAAAAAAAATATTATACATATATAGTAATTATAAAACAAACAATTAAAATCAAATTCAATTTATTATGTGATATTATTGTTTTAATAATCTATATTTTTTTAGATGTTACAAGGTTTGTTTAAATAAATGAACAAAGTTTGAGGAATTCATTTGTTTTGGCAAGCCAAGCCTCATACTCAACATGTTTACATCCTATATGATCTCTTTTATCCTTATGGAAAATTAAGATTAGAGACGACCTCACGGAATTTTTTTTTTAAACATGCTCTAATGAAATTTTAAATTCTTACAACTTTAGTTACTAATTTTTTATTTATAAAAAGCTTAATTTTATAAAATTTCATTTTATATTATATACTTTTTACTGAATGACACTAAAAAAAAAATATTGTGAAAGAAAAGTTTCATCACACAGTTGGGGTGGAGATTATAAATATTTGAATTAATGGCAGAGACCCAATTGTTTATTTGAATTAAACTATTTGATTTTTTATGAATAAAAATAACTAATTGATTTTTAAAGTAAATTCCCAAATTAAATAGAAAAGTTTTTAATTGGATCTCGATCATGTAAATGCTTTTTTTAATAGAGTCTTTTCCATTTGTGAGTTGACGACAAATTGAAGAAACAGAGCCCCCAAGAACTCAGTTATAAAAAATTTACATGATCAAGATCTAATTAAAACATTTTTTTAGTTAAAGAACCTAGTTGAAAATTCCCAACTAATTTTGACAAAACCCCCTAAAAATCTTGTGGTTTTTATAAACCCTAAATTCAACAGATGCTTTGTAATATTTAACATTATTTCTTGCCATTTATTCAATCAACTGTTTGCTATTATTGGTTAATTTAATTCCTTTGTTTCTTAATATTACAACCACAGAGGTGGTTATGACAGCAGCCATTATCTCCTGCGACAGAAATTATTATATATATATATGATAAAAAAAAAAAATTCATTAGCGGTGCCGGTCAATCATGAGTCATAATTTGATCAGTTAATCAATCCAAGCTAATCATTGAAAAATAAATAAATTCAAACGCTACCATTACCATTCTCTTGCAGAATTTAACCAAAAATTCTAACACACACGTCTGCTGGAGTGACTATTTCCAATTATTGCCTAATGCATGCTCATGATAAACCAATGAAAGAAACGTAACATGGACAACTCTTGTTTATCAAACAAGTTGAAATTTTTTATTGCAAGAGTAATGTTTTAATTAATGCCTGCCACACATGACTTGGAATGAGAAACCAGATATATTTATCTAATTATCTGCACTTAAATGACACATTAATTGTGCACGTGCTCCATCCATATATACCAGCTTTAAAAAAACATAGAACCACAAGTTGTGTAATTTAATGGTTTTTCTTTGTCTCATGATTATGGTTGCTTGTGCACATAGTTGCTTCTCTCCGATTTTCCGCAGCAGCGGATCCTATTTGTGTGCCAATCCCACAGTGATAACAATACTTTGGTTTCACAAGGAGGAATAATTAATGTCCCTATCAATGGATTGGAAACAGGGATGTCTCAAGTGTTACTATACATTTTTTATTTATTGATATAGCTTAAACAATGTTCTAAAACTAACGATCATAAATCAATATATATTCACAAACCGTGATTTATGTGGACTAAACATTATTTTAATATAAACGAAAATTAAACTTGAATGCAACAGGTTAACCGTCTGCGTTTCAAAACAGATTTTAGAATTACTGAGTTAAGAAATTTGATTATGTAACTTTATACATACATATACCAATATGGAGAGTAAGTTTTAAAATATAGAATGAGAAATAAAAAGTAAAATTATGAATAAATCTGTTTTTTTCATCATCTTTTTAAGTGATAAATGCATTTTCTATCTTCAAGATATTAGCTAGATTATTTTTTATTTATAAGAAAAATACTCAGTTATTATATTAAAGAGGCACGTTGAAGAGGGCATTCATTCAGAGTGTGTCACATCAGCCAACTATGACTTCCAATTGCCAAATGAATGTTGACCATTGCAGTTGTAGTCGATAATACATATATGGAAGAGATAGATATTAGAAGTGGGCAACTATGCATATTAATCAAGTCCAACCAAATGTAAACATCATTGGCCAAGTCGCGTATTGAAGTCTCGCGAAAAAATATATCATCGATGAAGTTTACTATAGTTGTTTTTTTTTTAATGAATTCAATTCATGTTCTCTCAAAAATTGACCAAATTTAATTATTCTTGGTGAGATGTTGAATTGGAAGTGGCGTCTCTGATGGCATCCAACATCCAAGAATACAGTTACGATTACTAACTTGGAGATTCCAATGGTGGTACACGCAAGCAAGTACTACGATGATAAAGTCAGTGTTTACTTAAGCTGTTTATCATACCAAACAATATATATGAAGAGAGATCTTTTTACTCCAGGAGTAAGTTTACCTAGACTTACTCTGTTCAATAATTCATGTTCTACATCAAATTTTAACGATCCAACCATTCAATTTAAAGTTAATGAATAGATCAAATCTCCAAATTTTTAAAAAATTTGAAAATTATTTGATACTTCGTTTCATTAATTCGAATCAATGTATAAAATGATTTTATGATTATCCGTCAATTTGAATTAATAAAATGAAGTATCAAATAATTTTTAAATTTTCTAAAAATTTGCAGATTTGATATATGAATTAAAAAATTTAAATTAATCGATTGGATCGTTGAAATTTGATGTAGAATATGAGTTATTGAACAGAATAAGTCTAGGTAGAGTTACTCCTGAAGTAAAAGAATCCCTCCTCATATATATATATATCCTCGTGAAAGAGTCATCTTATATAGAGGGTAATTAGTGGGAAAATTTGTTGTGGTTATTATTTTGATGAGTTATGCCAAAAAAAAATGCGTTATATGCCAATTATCTTAGTTTTGTAAAGTTTTTTTCTTTCACATTTTAATTAGCTCGATATATTTATGTTTTAGCTATACAGGTGTTGGGCAAGGTATAGCCACTGTAATTGATATTTTTTAGTCGATGAGTTGTTGCTAGAGGAGCAAACATAGTAATACTATTTATGTTTAAACAGATCGAAGTAATAGTTGTCCCAAAAACTGTGTTACATTTTTTGGTAATGCAAAAAAAAAAAAAAAAAAACTGTGTTACTTAATTAACAGAAATAACATTGGCTTAAAGAGGTGAAATACTGAGATAACTTTCTAGAACACTTGCTCCCAAATCCATATTACTTCTAAGTAACACACTGGTTTAAGATCCGAGAGAAGTCAAAAAAACCTTCCGAAAAAATTCAAATATTTTAAATGCACACACGACGCTATGGGTTTATAATGATGAAAATACAAATTTTCTATTAAAAAAAGATATAAAGTGTGGGACACAAAATTAAATCTTCATTAATATAATTCAATAATGAAATAATTAATTGAAAAAATATACTAAGAAGATGTTTAATATATATACAGCAAAGCATACGTCAGGATCTGGCTCTCTTACTGAAAATTCCATTTTTGGTGCTTATGAAGCTGTTAGCTTAATCCATTTCATCTCTATCCAAAATCCAGATAACGCAGCACCACAAAAGTCGCACTCAATCTTGATCGTTCTTTCTTGCATGTTAGTTCCCTCTCAATTTCCGTAACAAACGATTCTATCAACTGGGTCTCTGAATGATGTGAAAGACCTTATAGTTATAGAAAATTCCAACTAGGGCTTTTCTGCCCAGGCAATTCCCAGAAACGTTACCTGGCATTTGGGACAAGAATATTCCCAAGCCCAAGAAGTACGTCAACAAAACTCTCCATATATGTCTCCTTTACAAAAAAACATATTTTATATTAATATTATATAATTATTTTGTAATATTCTATAACTTACAAGTCATTTTTTATATTTTTAAAATTTACTTTAAAAGATGTATTTCTAAAATATACAAGAATATAATTATTTTTTCAAAGTTTATACTAAAATATTTCTTTTAATAAAATATATTATTATTAATTTTAAAAGAATTGTTTAAGACTTAATATATATTGGATGCATCATGCATATGAATATTCCAATTTAAAGACTTGTTTGGGTTGTTAATAGGGCAAACCCTATCGATGATTCCTCAGGCACTACAACACAAATAGTTTTTAGCAATATTTAAAAATATTACTTAATTGTGTATAAATATTACTAATTTTATTTAACAACATATTATTAAATATTGTATATAGTTTATGTTGCTAAAGACTTTTAATAATATTTTTATATAATTAGGCAACATTTTTCAAATGTTAGTAAAGTAGTATTTTTGTAATATTTTAATGATGTTGCCAATATTTTTTTAATTTTATAAAATGATAATCTATACTAGGGGATATCCCTTTTAGTAACCACCTTGGTTTCCACAATTTTTTTTACCATTATATCCTTCTGTTTTAAAATTTTTTTAAAAATATTTTCTTTTATCAAATTTAAAAAATTGAAACTAATGAATTAATTATAACATCAATTAAATCAGTATACTTTTATACTAATATATAAAGGGGATATCCTTTTTAGTAACCACCTTGGTCTCCATAATTTTTGGACTATTATACCCTTCTATTTGAAAAAATTTAAAAAAATATTTTTTTATCAAATTTAAAAACTTGAAACTAATAGATTAATCATAACATCAATTAGATCAATATATTTTTTATTTAATTTTTTATTTTTAATTGAGGTCCGAAGTGCCTCAATCAACTATATCATATTTTTATATCTCTTAAACTCCTAGGTGTTCTTTTCTGAGAGAAGATTAAAGACATTCTTAATTAGTTACTACTAATTATATATAAAATATCAAATTTCATTTATCTTAAGTATAACTATATGGTTATATATACTCTTTATGAGTCATTAATCTATTCGATGTGGGACTTTAATTATGGGTAACAATTAGAGATAAGAGAAATATAATTTTTTTATTCGATGTGAGACTTTGATTATAGAAGCAATTATAGTAAAATTTTAAAAAATTAATGTTGCAAAATAATCTATGTGAAATTTTTTTACTCGATATAGGACTTTGATTTTGAAAACAATTAGAAAGAATAATATAGAAATAAAAAATGTTACTCTATCTATAATGACATTTTTTAAAAAACTTTTGCAAAATAACCTATTTGTTTAATATATAATAACATTTAAACAAATGTAAACAAGAAAATTATCCCACCCTTTGAGGTGCCTCCAAGGAGATTAGTCACTACTGTCGGCGGTGGATACTCCAGGGACGAACCAAAAAAAAAACAAGAAAATGTTGCTAAAGAATTAAAATCTAGTAGTGGCATGTTAGAATTGGAAAACCTCAGTTCCGAATACTACACATACTGTTGGATGTGAGTGTTGGTCTTGAGGAATGGAGAGTCAAGTGATTGAACAATTAATTGTTCTTGTGTGGCTTATACTATTTCTGTTGTGTCATGTTGTTTGGACTTTGGAGATCTCATTGAGATGAAACAGTTTGAAAGTTGTGGACAATATCTATATCAGGAACGCCTGCTTCATAGTTAGGCGAGCACCATCAATTTTAATCTTCTCATTTCAATTGCAACTTTGAAAAGTCTAAAATCGCTTGAACACTAACCATTTTTTTTATCTGTTCCTGCCCTCAAGAACATGGTAACTATAGTTGCTTCCACCGTTGCTGCGATATGTGGTGTTCTGTTACTAATTAGTTCTGTTATATCCGCGTAGAATTCGGAGGAGGAATGCTGGTAAATTTTTATTCACGGTTTTACTAAACACGTGATCGCGCTTTTCCATGTATAACATTATTAAGTTGTTAATAAGTAAATATGTTTTGCAAATATAATAATTAATTAGCATAATCAACCTACAGTCCCTTATATCAAGAGATTCTTTTAGAATTAATTAGGAAATTATGACTTTTTTTTCTATGTATTTGTTTGGGTAAAATTTTAAGATACTTGAATTTTATAAAATCCAAGAAGAGTGAGGAAATGGAGAGGGGTTCAGAAAGGAAGTAATATTCAAAGCAGACGAGGGTTTGATATAATGACTAAAAACCTCGAAGAAATCATTTGACAATGTATTAAGAAATTGAGAGGGCAGTTGCGAGAGGTTAACAACAGTTGAGAGTAGTTACCCATGTTGCATAATGCAAAATGATTATATATCACACATTAAACTAATGCAAAATAATCGTTCTTCCCTATTTTCTATAAATAAACAAGTCAGGCTCATTCGTGAAGGTTGGAAGTTCAATACTTACACACTTACACACACCCACTGCCTATGTTCACGACTCTCGTGCACAAGACTACTAAATATGATTTAATGACTATCTTCTTTTCTTGCTTAGCTTAGTTTAGTATCTTTGTTTCTTCACAAAATCCCATGTCCTGAAATTCATGAACTATTTGAAGTAAAAGGATATGATTATTGTACTTAATGTACGCGTTGTTCATTCGATTTACTTAAGTGCCTATATATATGTATGAATCTTGTTTTATGATAGTCATCAAAGAGCATTTGGAAATCTTTTCATGCTAAATCACATAAAATTGAACATCGACTAGTTTAGCTTGTTTATTTTAATATAATCACTTATATTTTATGTGTATAAAATTCATTCCTAAAAAACTTGTTGCATGCTAAAAACGTACATAATTGAATTTGGATGTCTTATGCATACAAAATTCATTTGATGTAGTTTAATCTTTATATATAGTCACAATCGAGAAATATGTAGAAAACACCACTTGCTACACATACTTAAACCCAAAACTTTGCTAGTTCAAACAAAAAGGATCCTTAAACAAAAATCTCCACAAATAACATCATATTATAAAATTTTAAGAATTTAACGGTGATACACCAAAATTAATTAGATGACATTGTAAAATTAAATTAACATGGTTAGTGCATCACTTTTTTATTTTATTTTACTGTACTAGCATATGGTATCAACTAAAACAAATTTAATTTCTATCGTCCTATCTTGCATAACTTTCCTTGTAGCCAATACTCCGATAGATAATTTGCATGAGGAGGAAGAAACTCATGCAGGAAGGTAGATTCATCATAATAATACTTTGGGTTTTAGTTATCCTCAAAATGGTTTCATACCAATTAAAGTCATTTTTTTTTATTGTTTTGTCTTAAAGATGTAGGACATTAATTATTTTTTCTCACAAACTCAATATCAAAAAGACTTTTGATATAAAATATTTTATCCTTAAACTCACATGCTAATTCAATTATACTCATCTAAATTAGTCACTTCACATGATCAAATTAATAGCTCTCACATGATCTTATTATGCATCGAAGATTTATTTATGCGTCTTCATATTGATATAATATTATTCACTTTTGATTTACACTCAAATGAATTTACTTTTGGTAATTACTTAAAATGCATCATACTTGTGGTGACATTCATGTATTTGTAAACTATATGTTCCTCTTGCTTTTCTAAAAATGTTAGACTTTAATTGTATCCTAACACCTATAATTAAGAGATACCAAAAGAATAATATATATATATATATATATATATATAGAATAAAATCAAATAAAATCATGCAAACATGTTTAAAAATTGTTTTTCTTTATTTGAATATTTAGTGTAGAATAAATCAAATAAAATGGTGCAAGAAGAAGGTAATGAAATAATGTCAGAACAATATAAAAGCAGTATTTTATTAATAATCTAATCTGTGCAACAATTTGAATCCCTTCTCCCCTCCCCTTTGTGTCCAATTGTATTGTATGACATTGAAATATAAAAATAAATTAAATAAAAAATATAATATATTTTTATATTTGATAATATTATATTATGGTTAAAACCCTTATTTGGTCCCTTATAATATTTTTTTGTTTCAATTTAGTCTCACTTTAATTATTGATTTCAATTTGGTCCCCAATAATTTAAATTATTGCAATTTGGGACTTCCGTCCAAATGATTTAAACGGAGTTAATTGTTGGCCACGTGGATGCCAGGTGGATGCCACATAGATGCATAGGTGGACGCCAATTTTCATGAATATGCCTGGAACCAGAACGGCCCGTTCTGAAACCAGAACGGTCCGTTCTACATGCACATGTTATGTGTTAATTTTGCAATTGGAACGGGCCGTTCCAAATGCAAATTTAACACACCATGAGTGCATCAGAACGGGCCGTTCTGGTTTTAGAACGGCCCGTTCCAGACCAAAATGCAGTTCAAAAATTGAAAATAAAAATTCATATCACAAATTCAAAGACAGAAACAAGGTTCAGAAAGTGAAAATAAAAATTCAGAACATAACATATATTAAAAAAGTTCGAAGAAATTACTGAGAAACGAAATCATCCAGGTAACGCTGAAGGGAAACCCTAAACCACAAAAATTTAGGTTGTACCTCATCAAGAACAGGTTGTTATTGTTGGGGTACATCGTCAATGACTTCAAGGGGAAACATCGTTTCGTTTCATCCTTGACTGTATAGTGTCAATTTGGTAGTAAGTGGTTCACTCCAGTTTGACTAACAATGAAATAAAATCTGTTATCATTATCCTTAATGATATACTGCATCGTCTTTAATAATATACTATATAGCCCAAATATTTAGCAATGAAAGTTATCAATTCCCATTAACAATATTATCAAATCTAGTGTTTGAAATGCTTTGTACCTTGGATCTTTATCTTTGCACGATTCACAAATGTGAATTGTAGGCATTGACCATTCTGGAACCAGAACGGGCCGTTCTGAAACCAGAATGTCCCGTTCTGGTTACAATGTTGGTGTGTAAATTTGGCACCTGGAACAACTCATTCCAGGTACAAAATTTACACACCAAAAGTGCAATCAGAATGGGCCGTTCTGGTTTCAAACGGGCCGTTCTGGTTTCAGAACGGACCATTCTGGTTCCAGGTGTATTCAAGAAATTTGGCATCTATCTACGTGGCATCTACGTGGCATTCACCTGACATCCATGTGACCAACAGTTAACTCCGTTTAAATCATTTGGACGGAAGTACCAAATTGCAATAATTTAAATTATTGAGGACTACACATTGAAACCAAAAATTAATGTGGGACTAAATTGAAACAAAAAATATTATAAGAGACCAAATAAGAGTTTTAACCTTATATTATTTATATAATATAATAAAAATTTTATTAAAAAATAAATTATATATCTATTTTTATTTTATAAATATTTATAGTTTAATTTTTTATAAATAAAGACCCATATTTAGTTTTTGGCATAAAATCTATAAAATGTTAGGATCGGGTCTAAAGGAATAACTGGGAATTGGTCAAATTGATTTAAAATAATGATTAAAAATAAAAGCTAAAATAGTACTTAGTCAAATACTATAAACCATAACAAACTTATACACAAAAAAAAAGGTTTAATAAAATTGCATTTAAATTTTAAATTATAAGGTTTTAATTTTCCAACACCGGAATCCAAGGATGAGAACACAAATGAAAAATTGACACTTGAAGAAAATGAGGTACATGGTTGACTTGGAAGTCAATAGTTAGAAGTAACTATGGGAGAAACAAAACATGCGTACCTCAAGCATTCTCACCTTATCTTAACATCCCATTTTCGTGTTTACGATACATTTTGCCTCAATGGAAAATCTTTCTTTCATGATTATGTTTGCATGCATACTTGTTCCCTCTATCATAGCTAATGATTCAATCAACGTGCTCCAATCCATGAGTGATGGTGAGACCTTGGTGTCGAAAGGTGAAATTTATGAACTTGGGTTTTTCAGCCCAGGTAGATCCCAGAAACGTTACCTAGGCATATGGTACAAGAATATCCCAATGCAAACAGTTGTTTGGGTTGCAAATAGGGAAAACCCTATCAATGATTCCTCAGGCATCTTAACAGTGAACTCCACAGGCAATCTTGTTCTCACCCAAAATGGGTCTCTTGTTTGGTACACCAACCCTCACCAACAAGCACTGAATCCAGTGGTGGAGCTCTTAGACAGTGGCAATCTTGTGATAAGAAATGAGGCAGAAACAGACCCAAAAGCGTTCTTGTGGCAAAGCTTTGAACATCCATCTGATACGTTTTTAGCAGGGATGAAGTTGGGATGGGACCTCAAAACTGATCAGGAACGGAAACTAACATCTTGGAAGAGTCCAGATGATCCATCACCAGGAGACGTTTCTAGGGTTTTAAAACTCTATAACTATCCTGAGTTTTATATAGTGAGAGGAGAACAAAAGTTGTTCAGATTTGGTCCTTGGAATGGCCTATATTTTAGTGGAGTACCAGATCTAAATATTACCATTTATGGCTTGAATTTTGTCAGAAATATAGATGAGATTTACTTCACGTATAGTATTCCAAATACTTCTTTCATCTCAAGAAGTGTAGTAAACCAAACAGGTATTATTTATCGCTATACATGGGTGGAAGAATATAAAAATTGGATATATAGAACCTTGCCAGGAGAGTTTTGTGATAATTATGGCTTTTGTGGACCCTATGGGAATTGCCTAAAATCACAAGCTTGCCAATGTTTAAAAGGTTTTAGTCCAAAGTCACAAGAAGCATGGAACTCGTCGAATTGGAGTCGAGGATGTGTCCGCAATACACCGTTAAGCTGCAAAGACAAACTCAAAGATGGATTTGTCAAATTTGAAGGCCTCAAAGTTCCAGACACTACACATACTTTGTTGGATGAGAGTATTGGTCTTAAGGAATGCAAAGACAAGTGCTTGAATAATTGTTCTTGTATGGCCTATACTAATTCAGACATAAGAGATGGTGGTAGTGGTTGTGTCATATGGTTCGGAGATCTCATTGACTTGAAACAACAAACTGTTGGGCAAGATTTATATGTGAGGATGCCTGCTTCAGAATTAGGTAATAACCATCATCAACTTTAATATATTTCAATTTTAGTTAACTTCGAAAAATTTATCTCTCACTCTCTCTCTAACTTAATTTAGTCTTTTTTAGTCGGTTCCAATCCACCAGAACCTGTATACAGACACAAAAGGAATACACCAAAAATAGTTGCTTCCACTGTTGCTGCAATTTGTGGTGTTCTGTTACTAAGTTCATATTTTATCTACAGCATCCGGAGGAAGTACGCTGGTAAATGATTACCCACAATTTTGTTAAACACATGATTGCATTATTCTGTATGTAACTTTGCTAAGCTGTATATAGGTAACTATTTGTTGTAAATTAGTAAATATAAATTATAATAATTACTTAATTAGTGTTAACCTACCATCCTTATAGTCGGCCTTGAATTTTATTTTTTTTTGTCTTAGAGAAAGTGAAAAAATAGCATTCTTATAATTATTTGATTATTTATAATTTTAATTTTTAAATCTTAAAACATACAAATAATTAAACACATAATTACTAAAAGAAATGATTAAATTTATAGTACATTTGTACAAGATTATGAGTCATCCTAAAAGTCACTTCACATTAAAATAAAAATGAATAAATAATAATGACATATCATAAAGAAGTTCATAGTAGAGAAATGAAATAATTTATCAATAATAGTGACATATCATTTTCTCTAATACATTTATAACTTAATTATCTAAATTTTTATTTTTATATTATATAGAGTAAATAATATTTTTTTGTGCTCTTCCAACAATGGATCTTGAACAACTACTCCATTAGCCTATCCTCAAGACTAGAGGTAGCAAATGGATGGATGAAGTAATTTTTTAAACGGATTATTATGAGTCAGATAAAAATAATTTATTAATTTATTTAAATTCATCAAAATTTATATAAAAATTCAATCTAACAAATTTATTTAAAGCAAAAATTCATCCAATCTATCTGTTAATCATTTTTTCATGGATAGATATCCATTATTCCATCTATAAAAGTAATTTTTTAAAAATTAAATAATTTTTATTTTTAAAATATTTTTTCTCTGTTCTTTATAACTCATAACATTTTTATATTACCTTTTAAAATTTATAAATTAAAAAAAAAGTTATATTAAAATAATTTTTTAAAATCTCAATCTTATAAAAATCTCATAATTTAATAAATTTTTTTAAAAAAAAGTAATATATAAATCACTAATCATCCATAAAATTAAATAAATATATTAAATCTGACTTATTATTTATTTTTATTATAATAAATAGACTAAATATATTTATTTATAGATGAATTGGATTCATAACTGATAAATAATTAAATTCAGTTGAGACTCTTGCTAAGTCCACCATGACTATCCCTTGTATCATGAGATTTATTATGAATAGAGAAATAATTAAGCTTCCTTTTTAATCACACTGTATCGTATTATAATTTTTCAATATAATAGCTTCTAGAACCATTTGAAAACAAGTTTAGTTTTAAGCGTTCCACTTTCTTCATTCCTATCATAAATATTTTTTTATTACACTAAAATTTATTATTAGTGATAATTATTTAATAATAATAAATTCTTTTTTATTTTATTATTTAATAAAAAAATATTAATGGTTAATAAATAATAATTATTAAAAATATATTTATAAGAGTAGTTATTAAAAATGACTGATAAAAAGTATGCGTAACTTTTCATTTATTTTTTCTAAAACATTTAAGTCTCACATCAACTAAAAATAAGATAATTAAAAGGTATAGAAATGGAAGATAGTCCTCACCTTACAAGTCAGTTTTGTAGAGTTGAATTAAACTCATAATTCACTATTCTAAGATAATATCAACGTTATCCTATATCGACTCTAAAAAAGGTCACTCACTATTGATACACACAACAAATGTAATAGTATTGAGAGTGAGTGATGTATCGGGAGAAACTCAAGTCTCACATCGATTAGAAATAAGACAATTAAATTGTATATAAGTGAAGGGTATAAAAGTTAGAAATCCTTTCTTACCAAGTCCAATAGTGTTGGGTGTGTATATTGAAAAAATTTAAGTCTCGTATTGACTAGACACAAGATAATTAATAAGTATATAAGTAGAGAACATAAAAATTAGGAATCTTTTCTTAAATTTTTAGTGATAATTGTAAAAAGTTAGTAAACAAGTTAAACATTTAAAAAATAATATTAGCGGCCGTCATAAATGATTAAAAAATGTCACAAAAATTCATACATTTTTTTACTATTATAAAAATCTTTACCAGTATGCAAAATACTACTTGTCGATAAATATTTTACTGACATTACATACAATGATTAATGTGAAAATATTTATAAAATATTTAGTAAAATTTTTTATTGCTATTAAAATTAATATGAATGTCACTAAAAGTTTTTTTTAGTGTTGCCATTATATTGATAGATATTATTTCGCATTATAAGAAGAAACTAAAGCACGCAGAAATTTAATTGTAGACTTTATGCTATATTTTACTTTAAATAGCTCACTACGGGAATAGGAAAGGAACTAATCTTCATTTCTAAATTCTGATTCTTGTTACAAATTACAGAAAATTCTATTCTATTTATAATGTTGTTTGCATGAGACCTGCTAACAATTCTGTTCATTGCAGAGAAAAACAAGAGTCAGAAGGATGACATTAATTTACCAACATTTGATTTTTCATCCATATCCAGGGCCACAAATCACTTTTCACAGAATAACAAATTGGGACAAGGTGGCTTTGGAGTTGTGTACAAGGTAAAAAAAAGTTTAACTTAACCGCTCATCTTCATCAAAATTATATAATTGTTTCCAAAACTTTTGTCAGGGCATGTTGCCAAATGGGCAAGAGATTGCAGTTAAAAGGCTTTCTAAAACTTCCATACAAGGCTTGGACGAGTTCAAAAATGAAGCCATGTTGATTGCAAAGCTTCAACATCGCAATCTTGTGAAGCTTTTTGGTTGTTCTATTCAACAAGATGAAAAGTTATTGATTTATGAATTCATGCCTAATAGAAGTTTGGACTACATTATTTTCGGTAGGAGAGAAAATAATCATTCCAATTTATTAAATTTTATTTAATAGTTTTCATGCTAACTTAGAAGTGAACTTTATCAGATTCAACAAGACGTGCCTTGTTAGATTGGGCTAAGAGATTTGATATTATTAATGGAATTGCTCGAGGACTTCTCTATCTTCATCACGACTCTAGACTAAAGATCATTCATAGGGATCTTAAAACTAGTAATGTTCTTCTTGATAGTAATATGAATCCAAAAATATCAGATTTTGGTATGGCTAGAATATTTGCTCTAAATCAAGATGAAGCAGACACAAATAAAGTAGTTGGGACATAGTAAGTTGTTTTGTAAGCTTTTCTTCATTCTCCTTCCATAGCAACATTTAGCTTTGATTATGGACTCTTGTTTTGTTGTGCAGCGGTTATATGCCTCCTGAATATGCTGCACATGGATCTTTCTCGACCAAATCTGATGTCTTCAGTTTTGGTGTGATTGTGTTGGAGATAATAAGTGGGAGAAAGAATAGGAGATCTTATGACTCACAGCATAACCTAAATCTTCTGGGGCATGTAGGTTTAAAGATTCAACAATCTATATGTGAATAATAAAACATTGGTCCATGAAACAATGAACATATTGTTTAGTAGTTTTTGGTATGGAGAATGAACTCTTTGATTTGTGATTTTCAGGCATGGAGACTATGGATTGAAAACAGGCCAATGGAACTTGTGGATGACTTAGTGGATGATTTAGCCGGTCAATTTGAAATAATAAGATATATTCACATTGGTTTGTTATGCGTACAACAGAGACCACAAGATAGACCAGAGATGTCATCAGTAATTCTTATGTTGAATGGTGAAAAGTTATTACCCGAACCAAGCCAACCTGGGTTCTACACAGGAAAAGATTATTCAAACACGACACCTTCTTCAAGAAATATTGATTCGTATACCCTCAATGAAATCTCTGACACAATGTTGGAGGGAAGATAAATAAAATACTATGAAAACTGAAACTATTTGATAATGCTTTAACTTTTTTGTTTTTTTTTAATCATATCATGCAACTGTTTCTCCTCAGTTTATAAACAAGAGAATTGGTTTCATGCATTTAGTTATTGTAACATTAATTGCTACATGGGAAAGATATGGGATTTACCTTTTTACCATTAATAATATATGTCTATTTCTTCCTGTGTACATTTACATTAATTAAATGTCTTTGATGATTTTCTATGAAGGATCATCAAACATTTTCGTATATTGATTTTATTCACAAATTTTGCAGTTATCTCATTTAAATTTGACGTCTTTCATGCTTATTGGACCACTATTATAAAATATGGATATAATATCATGATATTTGTTAGGATGCAAACAAAATCTCACATCGTTTAAACAAGAAGATGGACATGGGTTTATATACACACACTTGTCTCCATTAGTTGAGAGGCCTTTTGGGTGATGTTCAAAAGTAAAAATCGTGAGGGTTTGGACCCAAGCGGACAATATCTCACCAATGTGGAGACATGTATGTATGTGTGGTAACATCCCCTCGATGCACAATAAGTGGTATCAGAGCCGATGGTCTGATCAGGTGACCGGCTCGACGAGTATGATGGCTGGCAGGTGGATCCAAGTTAGGGATTCTTTGTGTCGAAAGTCTTCCTGACAGTAGGTCCATGTGGAAGAGAGGCTTCCTAGTATCATGGAGGGTTAGGAGGCGTGTCCCGCTGAGCTCTGTGGGGCCACCATCGGATAATACTCGTAGTTTCTGCTGCAGGGGATAGGTTAAACCGTAGTCCTTTGTTTGAGGGGAGGATTGTTGGGATGCAAGCAAAGTTCCACATCGTTCAAACAAGAGGATGGACATGGGTTTATATATACACATTTGTCTCCATTGGTTGAGAGACCTTTTAGGTGATGTCTAAAAGCAAAACCGTGAGGACTTGGGTCCAAAGTAGACAATATCTCACCAATGTGGAGACATGTATGTATGTGTGGTAACACCCCTCGATGCACAATACTTGGTTTCTCTAAAAAGTTCCTTTTCTCTCTACATATCTTATTCAAATCTTTTTCACTTATATATTCTCATCCTTTCTTGCTCATAATTATGCACCTCAGCTCTTGCATATTTGAATGAATTTCCAAACACATATATAGGAATTAATGACACTAAAACTAAAGTCTTATAAGACATGACAAATTAAACTTATCAGACTAATGGAGAAAGACCATACAATCTAAACTTATTAGACTAATAAAGACATACTAAACCACAGACAAAAAACCATATAGATGATACGCCTAATTTTGAGTTAGAAACAAAAATTCTCCACCACACCTTGACTTTAAATCTAAAGAAAAGAACTATTTCAACATACCATTACTATCACACTTCAAAATAAAGCATCAAATGAAATTGATCATGTCGAAGCAATGCTTGAACTTGGATATAAAAAGATAATTTGTTAACATATTAGTAAGTAATGTTTAATTGCCTATGGAATATTACCTATTACAGAATTTTTTCCGTAGATAATATTTAGTTATCTACGGAATATTACCTACGGGATTTTTTTCGTAGGTAATTTTTAGTTACCTGTGAAATTTTTTCCGTAGATAATTTTTAGTTACTTACGGAATTTTTTCCGTAGATAATGTTTAGTTATTTACGGAATATTACCTACAAAATTTTTTCCGTAGGTAATATTTAAGATTTTCTTTTTCTCACAATTTTTATTATATATATCTTTTTCTTTTAATGAAATGTAGAAACGAAATGTGTACATTTTTTTCTTTTAATATTTTAAAGTTTAATATTAGTAATAATTTATTTTCTTTTTAAAAAAATTGTAATAAAGTATGTAAATAGAATATGAATTTATCTTTCAACAAACTTATAAATTTCACTTTATTATATAAATCAACAAGTTTAATATTTAAAAATAAAAATAAAAGTATATATAATTTCAATATATTATAGAAAATTTAATATAATAATAATAATAATTATTATTATTATTATTATTATTATTATTATTATT